GACATGTACCCACCCCCTAATGAAGGCCGCACACACCCGAACCCAGGAGGTAGACCCAATCATTCTGAGGAGGAGAGGGGAGAGGAGCAGCTAGCCAAGGCCCGGCCCGGGCCGCACCAGGACGCCCGGCCAGCCCCCCGCCGCAGAGAAGCCATACCCATGACCACCCCACCACACCGCCAATGACCAAGTGCACCCCCCCAGCCGTCCACCCCCCGGAACCCAGCAGCCACCCCGGCCAGCGGGCCACCCATAATACTGAACAAAACTAGCCAAAAAATGACATTATTAAATATAAATAAAGTACTAAATATAAATCATAAAATTATAAAATTTAAACATAAACATACAAATAATCAGTTGAATAATGCAAACAAGTCATGTAATATTACTGGTTTGAGATGACATCTAAATTCACTAAAAGTCCAAGTCTGTCTGTACTGACATGTTAAAAGCTACATAATTCAGTTCTGAGCATTTATTGTTACAGACACTGTTGTTTGATGCTGCTTTGTAGTTTCTTTAACCTGATTATTTTCTTATTTCACCATGGTGGAATTTGAGTGAGAACCTATCCACCACGCTGCTTTAGTGAGAACTCCAGCAGTCTTTAAAGAGGGTTTTTTGTATCTGAGAACTGAGTCTCCTTAAACAATGCCGCTGAAACAGAGTAGAGGCAGCATTGGATAGGAAATAATAACTTAGCATGATAAAGCCTTTGGAATAGCTGGACAGTAGTTGGCTGCTGATTGGAGATAATTTAAGTCTATGGAAGCATGGCTGGAGTCTCAGAACTATCATAAAATTGCCACACAGGGGCAGTGTTGGACCAGCAGTGAGCTGCTGACGTTGTATTTTAAGGAAGGTCCAATAAAGCTTAACATTTCAAAAAACATGAAGGCTACAAAAACCATGAATCAGAACTAGTGTTTTCTGAATGTTCTTAACAATTAGAAGTTTGAATGGTTGCAACAGGATCAAGCATGCAGGAGTATTTAGGAGGCAAACAGTTGCACAGGAGTATGGTGTGCTGTTTGTAAAGTTATACAGTCAAAAATTACCTCCAATATTTTTGTTTTATTTAGACTTTTATAAGAAAAAAAGAACAGATTTATTTTTCAAAGTCAGTTTT